TTCTGTCATTATAGAGTGTGGCCTTATTAGGAACATCGTGTTTTTTAGTGTTAATATCATACACTACAACCTATGCTGGTTCCTTAACGTGTATGGCTATAGCTATATCATGTTGTGGTTTTCATAACAGTGGGATATTAGTCAACCCTCAAGATATAGCTCCTAAACACGCTGGCTCCGTCTTCGGTAAGTTGGACTTGCTACTTTTTTAATGCTAAACTGCAGCTACAAATGTGACCAGCAAGTGAGAATTAAGCCCCAGCAAAACCTTCTTCAGTTCAGCAGAGATTGATTCATTTACAGTGTCTTTGTACAAAATCAAAAAGATATAGATATTGATACGTTTTTGGCAGCTCAAAATAATCAGAAAGAGTTCTCTGGGCCTTTAATTTATCAAATTTTGTGAGTATAAAATCTGAGTCCCAGCACCAATTTATTCCTGGCGACGGGAATGAATATGATCTTGTGTCTATATTGTAACAGAACATACAAATTGTATTTTGTATCTTGATATGAAATAAGGAATAAAATAAAAACACTAAAGTTTGTATGTTAAATAGAAATTGAAAGCTGTATTGTTTATTTATTTTCAGGTATAATGAATATGGCTGGAGCTATCCCAGGTAAAATTTTATTTGTTTTCTCTTCTAACAAATAACTTTTATAACCCCGCTTTGTGTTTTCTTTGAAGGTTTATTGAAGTGGTTAGATCATGAACCATGGAAACTAAATACTGATAATTTATTCACTGAATATATTTCAGGTTTTGTAGGGGTATATATCGCAGGACATATTTTAGAAGCCACAAAAAGTTGGAGTGCCGTGTTTAACCAAACAGCAGGTGTGTGTATGGTGGGATGGGTGGTCTTTATATTTTTTGGAACGGGCAAACAGATTATTTAAAGGTGGTATTCATGTGGTTTGTGATCTCTTAGACTTTGTATGGCACTTTTTGGAATAATAAGTGAGAAATGTGCATTGCCGATAATGGGAAGAATTATCATTTAATACATGCTACTGCCTATGAAAATCTCCACCCAAAATGGCATTTATTTGAACTGTGTTCGCAAACAATCTGCAGAAAATTTGGTACCATAATTAGTAAGCGAGTTTATTATGTATGTACCATAGTAAAATGATATAGAACATAGTCTCATCTGTGTAAATTGCCATCAAGAACCGCATGTGGATAATTGATGTTCCAAAATAGAGAGCTGATTCTTACTGATGTAGCTGAGCTAGCTTCTGGTACTTTCAAATCTGTACCTAGTTGGTTTATTGAAGTTTGGAATTTAACTATGATGCAGTAGAATGAATTTGAGAACTATAGTACGCTGATAATGATTACATGAGACTTGCAAGTATTTTGGGCAATTAAACCCCTCCCCCTGATTTCCCCCTGATTCTTACAACCGACCAATTCCATTTCTTCAACTAAACACCATACACCATTGCTCCTCCGGATATATTGCTTGTACCTCCGAACTATCAAGTCTGGCTATGGGCCTGTGAATTCCGCACTTCTATGGCTATGGGCCTGCCTATAGTAAACTTTGCAGGGCTGTGTGAAGGGTAGAATAAGGGTAGGAATGAGGGTGAAAAAGTTGGTTGTGTCTGTGTTTATCAATTATTTATTGTATTGTGACATTGGTAAAGAATAACTGTTCTTGTATGAAAGGAAAGGTTGTAAAATGTATGCATGCGTATTATAGTCACAATTATACTGTAAATGATCGTATGTTATTTAAGTATTGAAACATTTAGAGATTTTATTCATTCTCTCATATTTACATGTATTTTTGTGAGGATGTGACTAAGATGGATGATTAAATAATCTGTAAACCACAATTAAGTTATATACTACTAATTTGACAGAGTCTAGCTGTTTCTTTATATTATAACTGGCTTTATAATTGTATTAATGAGGGATTATCTTCTGAAATCAGATTAACTGGTTTCTCCTTTTAAAGGAATACTACCTCTTAGAATGTACATAAAATTTAAAGTCTCAAACTTTGTCAATATGAGTATATATTCATCAGTTAGACTTACAAGGTGTCATGACTAAAGAATAGAATCTCTATATATGATGATATATCTATTAAACTAAATAATTATTGAAACACGCTTCCAAAATTGCTTAGTTTAATGGATAATTCAATTTTGGTCATCCAAAGAGGTAGTATACTTTTAA